CTGAACTTTGTAGCTATTGGAAGGTGAAGTAGGTGATAGAGAAGAGTTAATAAGGAGACTATGGAAACAAAGATGAAAAGAAATGACCTAGCTTAAGAACATGCAACAATACTGTCCACAACCTCCAAAGGAAAAAAAGAAACTAAAACTATATTACTAGTTCCTCTTACTCCATCAAGTATTTTCCAACAAATAGAACTACACTTCAGCATAAGCCAATTCATCGTCTGTTTATGTAGGATCACACTACAGAACCAAGTGAGTTCCAAGAGAAGAAAGCTACTTCATCTTGAACATTATCAAAACAAATATTGAACAAGTTCTTCCCTACTGAAGGCAAGAGCAAAGAGAATCAACTAATCCTTCAGATTCTAAACAGATCACTAGACTAAGCTGTTAAAACTATTCTTTTACTGAGATAACAAATTGTTTCAGAGAGAGCAGGCCAGCTTAAACAGATACAAAACTCCACAAAGATATTTTTAGATAGTCACAGTAACATGAAGCTCTGCTCACCCCATGCGCTTATAGATGCGGAACTGTCAGATACATCTACTTCTTTGCTTATAAACACTAAGCAAGGATTAAGCCTTTTAACTTTTTTTTTTTTATAAACACAGTTACACCAACTCTAAATTTATTATTTCACAATGTTAACCTGACCTGAGCAAAAAAATTCACTGGACAGGAAATTCCACCAATAACTGAGAAACAACTAAAATTGTCATAGCTTTCGACATCCAGCACCTGTTGGATATAATCTTGTATAAAGCTTACTTAAAAATATCCAAAAACATTAAACAAGACTAGAATGGGTATTTATGTTTCCCTATCATGGACTAAGTGAGATCACTTCAAATAAACAGGTAAGGACAGAATATGTTATAGTGGTAGCACTTTTTTTTTTTAATTGCAACACGACTGAAAAACTAGATAGAAAGAGAATTACTGTGATTCTAAGATCTTGAACTTATTCTACAAAATAAGTTCTCTATAATTTCAGGACAGACACATAAAAACTAAGTATTCAACTAAAGTATAGTTTCTGCTAACACAGGGTTGGCTTAACTCGTGTCTCACTTTTTTTCTGCTGCTCATTTAAACTTGATGGTCCATCACTATGCAAAAGATGTCACTGGAGCCATCTCTACTCTTGCTGACAGATTCTGCATCTGACAACTCCTCCCTCACTTCTATACTATGGAACTACTCAGAGGAATCAGAGGGGCCTCTGCTTCATGAGGGCACAATACACATTTCAACTAAGTAAAAGAAAGCTTTAAACACAGAGACTTCAAATCATTCAACACAATGGAAATAAAATCTATTACTTCACCTTTCTTTAAATGCTTACTGAATAAAGATTAGAGAATGAAAGAGCTCGCTAATTCCAAATGTTGTAATTCTTCAATACCCTGACTAATTCCTAAATACAAACCTAAACTCAATGACTTATAACAACATAAATCATAAGTCACAAGATACTAATATTAATATTTTAACCACATAACATCAGCAATCAAACCAACATACGTTAAGCACAAGAAAGACTGCTGTTTCATAAGGTTGGGGTTTTGTTGTTTGGGGGTTGGGCTGGGTTTTGGTTTGTTTTGTTTTTTTATTTACCTCAAAATTCTCACTGACTTCTTGCATCATTTTCAGTTTGGTTTCATCAGCTGAAAATGGAAATTCAAGCAAAAAAATTTAAATGTAAAACTACATCATGAAGAAAAACACCATGCTCACTGATCAAAGAAGCAATCAGATCTTATCAGTTTAGCTATCACTGCCCAATTACAAGGCACACAACTCTCACAAACAACCCTCATACAACTGCACACGCACACAGCTCGCTCACTTCGGCTCATGCAAGTATTGCTCATCACTTTGCTTCTTCAAAAGCCAAAACTCAAATGAAATTCTAAGTTAATTCAACACACATTTATCAACTGTCTAAACAATACTGCAATGGTTGCAAAAGAAACTATTGAAGAACTGTAACTTTCAATAGAAAAAAAAGGTATCTTACGTGTATTGACATCTGTAAGAGCAGCCACAAACTGAAGGTATTTTTTCATCAAAGTGGTTTGGTCCACCACTGTAGGCCCTTGTGCTGAAACAAACGCCATCTCGGAGGAGAAAGGATCAGCCTTCAGTACATAAAATCAAGACCAACACACCTACACAAAAAAAAAAAAAGTTAGTTTGTACAGCTGGTTAACAGCAGCCATCACCTACATCCATCGTTTTGATGTATTGAAGGGGACACATCGTTTCCAAAAACCACAACTGTCACATTTAGTTAGGCTTGCAAATATAATGCCTAGCATGTACAGCGCTCCGTATCACAGGAACACACTCCTAGATACAAGTGGTTACTGGGCTCTTCACACCGCAGTGTAAACGTTCACGCATTTTGCTTGGTTTAGTTTCTCCCAGAAGCAGCAGCAAGCTCAGGGAAGCTCCCGGCGCCGCACACCTGGAATCTCATCTTCGAACCCGGCCAGATCCCAAACTTACAGCTACCCTTGGACGCACCGCAGCAGGACTCGCTCCCAGAGGTGCCAGAAGCTGTCCTGCGGCCACGAGCTGCCTTTCTCGCTCGTAAAGAAACCCGAAATCAAATTCAGCTTGAAAGACCGGCGACCTCTCTCCTCAGCTCGGCGCTTTCCCGTCAGCTCCCCTACACAGCCCGCTTCAGCCGCGCCGCGCTTCACG